TCTAGATTGGAGAAGATGCCTGATGGTGCAGTGGCTTAAGCATTGCACTGCTAATAGAAACATGGGCAGTTTGAATTCCACAGCCCAAAGATGATGCAGTTTGCTTCTGTACAAGATTTGCAGCTTTGGACACCCTCTGGAGCAGTTCTATTTATGTCCCCTAGGGTCTCTTTATGTTGGGATTTATTTGATGGCACCAGGTTTCTATATTGGAGAATAGACTAATAATGATGCTTAAGATATAATAGAAAACAGGTTGACCAAAACTTTGTAAAACAAATGAAATGAAGAATTGACCTTAACATCTATAAAAAGTTCTTGAAGTGCTTTCAGTATAGACTTAATATAATTCTTGTAATTTACAATGGTTACTTTTGATTGGGGTGCTTTTTCTATAGTATCTCATAGTGTTTTAGCTTTAAGATGTTCTTGTAGAAATTAGGCTAGGGTTGTTAGTGTTCTATGCTAGGATCATGGAGAAATAGATACCTATCAAAAGGAAGATCAGAAGTTTGCCAGGCAAAGGATTGAAGGAAAATGTGTCCGTAGGAGGAATGTGTGCTAAGTATTGTACTAACTTGTATGTTGGCATGTTGGTGAAAACTAGGTAAATCAATGGGATTGGAGAGTATTATTCAGGAGAAAAAAAATGACAGAACAGAGAAGCCAAATTATAGGGCCAGCGTTGTTGTTGTAAAGATGCTCGATTTCATCATTTGTACAAGGGCAACCATTGAAGAATTTTGGAATTCTTCATATTTATTGATAAGGTTGATATTTTCAAAAGGGTAATTCTCTTATCGTTTCCATATAGACTGAGAGTGGCTGAGAATGGATTAAATTTGGCTAGATTAGCTCAGAAGCTTTCATTTGTACAATTGACACATATCTGTATAGTAAACAAGAGTCTCTGGTAACACAATGGTTAAGTATTCAGTTACTAACAAAAAGGTCAATGGTTTGAAACCACTGATATCTCCACAGTAGGAAGATGTGGCAGCGAATTTGCTTAAATAGTACAGTGTTAGGAATTTTATGGGGCAGTTACTCTGACCTATGGGTTTTCTATGAGTGGTAATCAACTTAATGACAGTGTATTTGTTAGAGACTACACCACATAGAGAAGTCCTATTATGGCTCTGTAGAATAAGCACTAGACTGCTAACTAGAATGTCGGTGGTTTAAACTCACAAGCTTCTCCTTGGAAACCCTATAGAGAGTTATAATAAGTCATAACCCAGTTGACAACACTTAACAGGAAGCAACAACTACATTAATAGATGATTCATAGAGTCCTTCTGTAAAATTTATCTTTAAAGATTTGGAACTAAAGTTATGACCTAAGTAATGAACTATTCAATGATCTTATATGCATGCGGAATCCTGGTGTGGCACTGTAGGATAAGTACTGCACAGCTAACTGCAAGTTTGGCCATTCAACCTCACCAACCACTCCTCCAAAACCCTAGACAGTGTTAGTATGAGTCTGAACTAACTTGGCAGTGCCTAAGAATAAATAATAACAACAATATGCATGTGGAGGTAAGAAAATGAAAAAGGAGGACAGAAGAAAAATTGATGCATTTAAACTGGCGTCTTAATAGAGAATTGTGAAGGTACCATGGGTTACCAACATAATGAACAAAGTATTCTTACAAGGAATGCACCAGAATATTCCTTAGAAGCAAAGATGGTAAGACTTAGACTCATTTGCTTTGGGCATGCCATCTGAAAAGCTTAATTTCTTGAAAAAGACATTATTGTTGGCAAAGTAGAGGATCAGTGAAAATGAAGAAAGTCCTCGATGAGATGGATTATCTTCATGGCTGTAACAATAGATTCAAACATGCAACAATTGTGAGGATGATGCAGGACTGGGCGGTTTTTCATTCTATTGTACATGGAATCACTACGAATCAGAATGAACTTCAGGTTGCTGCTGATGTTGTTAAGAGCCACAGAGTTGCTTCTGACTCTTAGTGACCCTATATAGGGTTTCCATGCAGTGGCTGGTAAGTTTGTATCTCCACCCGGAAGTTCAAATCAACCTTGCAGTTCAATGCTTATCTTACAGTATCACACAAGGACTCCATGCACCTACAACAATGATAACATACATGAGGTTTCCATGAGTTGGAGCCAGATGGTATTGGTGTGGTGCTGTAGAATGAGTACTGGTTTGCTAACCACAAGATTGACAGTTCAAACCCACCAAACACTCCTCAAAAACCCAATAAAGGGTCATTATAAGATGGAACTGACTCGATGGCACTTAATGACAACAAAGATGAAAACTAACACAATACCAGTGATTCACTCAAGTGGACACAATGAGAATATAATGGTGAAAAAATACTCTAAAATGCTTTGCATTGCATCTTCATGGTCCATATGCAAAGAAGTGAGTTATGTGATGTCTATTTGTGGTAAATGATATGAAACATTATTGTGAGTATAAATACAATTTTTAATAAGATTTCTTCCATTAAGGTCAGTGTAAGTCTTCTGATGTTGCAATTGAACAGTGTTATGGATTGACCTATGTCCCTCAAAATGATATGTTTAACTCCTAATCCCTAGTACCTGTAAACATGATCTTCTTTGGAAATGGGATCTTTGTAAATGTCACCCACCAGTTAACAGAGGAAATAGTGAGGGTTTTTTTTTTTTTCCAATATGAGTGGTGGCATGTAAAAGTGGAGGAAACATTGAGAAACAGGAAGATGAAGGAAAGCCAGGTGAAGATGCTCTAGAAGTCAAGAAATATCTAGATCTGCAAAAATATGGAAGAGGCATGAGCTAAACTTCTCTAGAGATTCCAGAGAAATATGGATGAGACTAGCATATTAATTTGAACTTCTGATTTCCAAAACTGTGACATAATAAAATTCTGTCCTTATATAGTTTTTAGTATTTAGTTATAGCAGCCTTAGGAAATGAATGTAGTAATGAAAGGAGCTCTGGTAGCGTAGTGGTTATGAATCGGATTGTGAACTGCAAGGTCAGCACTTTGAAACTACCAGCTGCTCCGCGGGAGAAAGATGAGGTGTTCTGCTCCCGTAAAGATTTACAGCCTTGGAAACCCTGTTCAGGGTCGTTATGTGTCAGAACCGACTCAACGGCACATAACAACAACAAGTGAAAGTGGACACTTGAAGGAATAGAAATGAACAAGTCATCTGAATATCCAGAGGAATGATTTCCCAAAAATAAGACACCTCAAATACCCAAGATGCCAGGAGCTAAAGGATTGGTTGAAAGTTGCTGTCAATAGTGTATTGCCAGAAACAGGTGGAGTGAAAAATAGAAAAGAGAATCAGTAGTACAGCCTAAGAAACCAATTGGAGTAGGAAGAAACATGATTTTTAATGATGACTTTTAGGAACCAAGTTCCAAACCTCAACTCTATAATGCCCATGTGAAAGTAGTGCAGAAACAGTTTTATGTGAGGAAAATCAAATGAGAAAATATGTAGAGGTGTAAGAAATTAAATTTTGACCAGAAAGTCTGAAAAGCGTAGTGCAGTGCAAATCTTTAATAGAACTGACTAAAGGTGTAATACATTAGGAAAGATAAACTAGGGTAAAAGCACAGCTGGCTAAGAGCTCTGGGCTTTATTACATACATTCAGCAGAATTACTTAAGGTTTATGGGCAAGAAGGTGCTATCATCAGAAGTGTACTTCAGGTCAATTAATCTGTCAGTAATATGTAGTTTATGATCAGGTGCTAAAGCATAAATCTCATTAGCAGTAGAGGTTATTCAAGCTAGAAATACATCTAGGTGCATACACTGGAGCTTAGATAAATTCTTGTTTTGCTCTGGAATGGAGGAGAGTTTGTCAGAATTTAGTGCTTTTGCATTGACAGTGTGAAGGACATCTTCATATTTCTCCCAAAAACTAGCCTTTGTTTTTCTCTCAGCATAAATAAAAATAGAATTCCTATCAACTATAGTTGATGTTATGGGAATGTATAACATCTTAAGCTATAGATAAATAAATCAAGAGTAATAAATAACTAAGTACAGAAAAATGAATGCAAGTAGATAGAAATAACTACTCTAAATTTTGTGAATTGTTATGATTGTTACAAAAAAAATGTTCATTTAAAAAAGTCACTATTTCTAGTGTTGTTAGAAGTAGACATTTGCTATTCATAATAATATCCAAAGACAGCAATCCCAAAAGTTTCTGTTTTTTTCAGGGCCAGATTTTAATGATTTCCAATCCATATGTATTAACTAGTTGTATGTGTTAATTAACTTCGAAACTACCAGCCGCTCCGCGGGAGAAAGATGAGGCTTTCTACTCCCGTAAGGATTTACACCCTCGGAAACCCTGTACAGGGTCGCTATGGGTCGGAACCGACTCGACGGCACTTAACAACAACAACAAAAGGAGCTCTGGTAGCGTAGTGGTTACGAATTGGGCTGAGAACCTTAAGGTCAGCGGTTTGAAACTACCAGCCAGCCGCTCCATGGGAGAAAGATGAGGCTTTCTACTCCTGTAAAGATTTACACCCTCGGAAACCCTGTACAGGGTCGCTATGGTTCGGAACCGACTCAACGGCACTTAACAACAACAACAACAATGTAGTCACTGTTGTTGGTTTGAACCTCAAGTTCTACAGTTCAAGCTCACCAGTCACTCCTCGGAAACCCTATACAGGATTGCTGTGTGTTGGAATCAAGTCAACAGCACTTAATAACAACAACAAATATAGTAATTGTGAGAACTGCTAGCCACAACTGCCTATTAACTACTTTGATGAAGAAGGCTTTTTGGCTCCCACAAAGATTCAAAGTCTCAAAAATCTTATATAGGGTCACTATGAGTTGGAACCAACTCAATGGTACTTAACAACAGTAAGATTTAGGGTTTAAGATTTATAATACAGTCTCATATATATATATATATATATATCTTTGAATACTCTATTGAGAAGGCTCTTTAATTATCCATCTATCTCTTTATATATCTATTTCTTTATTCTTTACAGACACCATCCATCTTCGAGTCCTTGAATCCTCCCCAGTTGGCACAGCCATTGGAAGTGTAAAAGCAACTGATGCTGACACTGGAAAAAATGCTGAAGTAGAATACCGGATTATAGATGGTGATGGGACTGATATGTTTGACATCATAACTGAGAAGGACACACAGGAAGGGATCATTACTGTGAAAAAGGTACACAGCATCAGTATAAATGAGCATCTGGGTATTTATGAAGTAAAGATTTTATGACTCTACTCTAAATTCATGCCTTATCCACTAAGAAATATTACTATCATGTTCTAATGAAATTCATATTGTGCATAAGAGGGATATAAGAACAAAGAGCTTTTTAGAAATGTTGACCTTATGTTTTGCTTGTTGAAACGTTACATGAGATGTTATAAAATTTCTTGGCAAGTTAATGTATGTGTAATATAGCGCAGTCATATTAAGATGTTGTTGTGTTGTGAAGTGCCGTCGAGTCAGTTCTGACCCATAGCGACCCTGTATAGGGTTTCCTAGAGCAGCTGGTGAACTTGAACTGCCGACCTTGCAGTTCAAATGGCTTTGCAGTCTGGCTCATTAACCCACCGCGCCACAACAGGACTCCCATATTAAGATAGGACCACCATAATAATACTGCTTTCTTAAAGGTTAAACTATTCAATAGCTAATAATGATGATACATCCAGTTGGATGCATAAAGAGTAGTATGCCATCTTTCCAGATGTATGAAGCAATAATTAGAGTTGCTAATAAAAACAGACAGCCTGAATTGGAACATAATTTAATTGTTCACATTTTCCCATCTGCTATATAAATTAAACTTTTTTGCTAACATATGCTCAGTTATACAGTGTAAAGGTAGCCAGTTTTAAATAGTAGAGTCAATACCATGGCAATATGAAAAGAATGAAGCCCATTAAAATTTAGATTTTAATGAAATGTCATGCACACGCTACGTGCATAAAGTAACCGCTGATGCGCTGGTTAGTCAGAGAAAAAAATGATTCTAGGATTTTATTGCAAAGCATAAATTTCACCACAGTTGTTAAAGGGAAAGTTATCAGCAAAGAGGAAGCAGCTTCCTTCTTGTTTTTCATGGCCAGGAATATAACAATGTAATGAAAATAAAATCTGCTCTTCTCAGAATACAAAAGAAGATTAAGGGAGTCTCTTTCAACATGCATTTTATATGTTAACAAAGCAAGTCTTTTAGAATGGGTATTAAGGGAGCATTTGAATTTTTTACTTGTGATGATTAGCCTGTATCAATACTTAAGTACTTTTTTGATTGTCAAATGTATCCTGATTACCCAATAGTATTAAAAAAAAGTAAGTAAAATGTCTATTTTTCTCTTTGCACACTGTTTTCCTCATCCTGAATGATTTATGCCACTTTTGAAAGTTTCATCCAACTCTTCAAAATATTATATAGTTTTTATAATGTCATGAGTCCATCATGGAGCTAAAAAGAAAACTGATTTTTTTGCTTAGACAAAGTTTAGCAATGGCCAACACCTAGTGCACACACATACAACCATAATTACACAAGCATACACAGAAAATCCACCAATTAATTTTTAATGAGTCATTAGGAGTCCTGATGTTGCACTGTACGATAAGCACTAGACAGAAAGATCAGTTTGAACCACCAGGTCAGTGCTTCAAACTCAACAGCCGCTCCTTGGAAATTCTATACATGGTTGCTATGAGTAGAAAATGGCTCAGTGGCACGTAACAAGAAGTTATATGTTTTAATACGTTTTACAATTTTTCCAAGGCTCAAAATTTCATTTCTTATAACTTCTGAAATATTTCATAGTTGATATATAATTGTTGTTATGTGCCACTGAGTTGATTCTGACTCATAGTGACCCTGTATAGGGTTTCTGAGTGATGCCTGGTGAGGTTTGAACTGCCGATCTTGCAGTTCAAATTGACTTTGCAGAGAGTGCATTATCCTGCAGTGCCACACCAGGACTCCAGTCGATACATATATTTAAAAAAAATTATCCCTAATTAACAGGTAGGCATTGTATCATTTTCTTGCTTTCCTTTTGTTGTTATTATTATTTATCATTTAGTCAGGCTTCACAAATCATACACTTATATGGATAGCTAATATAATCTTTTTTCCCTCACTCTAATTTGATGATTTATTTGCTTCCATAGCCTCTTGATTATGAAAGCCGAAGACTTTATACACTAAAGGTTGAAGCAGAAAATACTCACGTTGATCCACGTTTTTATTATCTTGGACCTTTTAAAGATACTACGATTGTGAAAATTTCCATCGAAGATGTAGATGAACCTCCTGTTTTTAGCAGATCCTCCTATCTGTTTGAGGTTCATGAAGATATTGAAGTGGGTACAATCATTGGTACTGTAATGGCAAGAGACCCAGATTCTACTTCCAGCCCCATTAGGTAACTATGCTTCATCTTAAGATAAAAAGAAAGGGAACCTGAATTTACATCTAAACTATTTAATACAATGAAAGTTGCAAGAGTCTCTACATAAGTAAGTACATAACGTTTGTGAGCATAGGTGTTTTAAGTAAATCACATCTGAATGGCTTTGGGTAGGACACGAATATATTTTCCAATATTCCAGCTCTTAATGCAACTTTTCACCTGAAACCTGGCCTATGGCATCTGTTTGTTCTTCTGCTTCTTGGTATACAACATTTTAACTACAAATTTCCAATGCAACCAAATTGCTATATTAGTGATTCCAGGCTAATAAATAATATGTGATGTAAAAGAAATTTTAGCAGTTAAAGCCATTGCTGACAAGTAGATTTTCACTTATAGTAATCCTTTGGTGAAGCACAATAGAATAAAAACTGGATAAGGTTGGTGGTTCAAACCTACCAGCTGCTCTTAGGAGTCCGGATTGACTTGATGGCATTACATTCTTCTATCTTATGGGACAGTGTGAAATTGCTACAGAAGATTCCTATGTCAGTAACCTTTACCAAACCAGAGTGCAAATATTTTTCCCTTGAAATACGACTTTTTGGTTATCAACCCAACACTTAACTCACAGTGCCAGGAGGGCTCATTATGTGGTATATGTTGTTAAGTGCTGTGATTCACTATAGTGACCTATGAATGGCTGGTTTAAATTGTTGACCTTTTGGTTAACAGCCCAGTACTTATCCTGCATCACCACATGTGGTACATAGACATCTAGAAATTACCTAGTCCCATATCTGCTGTGTTTTCCAAAAGCAGGAAGTGTGTTTAATGGACATCCTCTAGGTGAGCAGTCCAGTAATTCAGCCACTCTGAAGTTGTTGTTAAGTGCTGTTGAGTCAGTTTGGACTCAAAGCAACCTTATATAGGGTTTTCAAGGAGCAGCTTGGTGGGTTTGAACCATCAGCCTTGTGGTTAGTGATCCAATGATTATCCTACAGTGACACACCAGGATTCTGTGAAGTTAGAAACAACCACATTACGACAAGGCTTTAATGAGATTACATTATGATTTTGGAAACAACCTTAGCTACTGTCATTAAAGATTGGAAGATTTTTTTAGGAAGTGGGGGTTACGGGGAGTTAAAGGAAAAATTTCAAAACAAACACACACAAAAAAAAGATTAGTATTGTTTTTTCTCATGACAGTCTAAAAACTAATGACATGTAATAAACAAAACTGTGAAAGACTCCAAATTTTCATAGGCATTTGCTCCATTATATTTAAAGAAGCAAACAATATATATGCTGATGCATGCTGTTGTGTAGATTCCTACTCATAGCTGCTGTATATACTGTTTTGAGACTATAATCTCCAGAGGAGAGTAAAGCCTCAGCCACACTGTGGGGTAAAGATGAGACTTTCTGCTTTTGTAAAGATTTACAATCTCAGAAACCCTATACAGGATTGAAATGAGTAGGAATGTTACATATATATAATATATATTATATATATGGGACTCCTGGTGTGGTATTTTAGCATCAGTCCTGGACTGAGAACCACAAGGTCAGTAGACCAAACCCACCAGCGGTTCCTCAGAAACCCTATACAGGGTCTCTATGAGTCCGAACCAACTGGGCAGAACTTAACAACAATAACATATGTAAATGTATATGTATACATATATACATATACATACATGTTGTTGTTAAATGCCGTCAACTTGGTTCTGATCCATAGCAATCCTGTATAGAATTTCTAAGGAGTGGCTGGTAAGCTTGAACCACCAACCTTGAAGTGCAAACTGACTTTGCAGTCCAGCGCATATATGCATATATATGACTACAAGGTTGGTTTGAACAACAAGGTCAGTGGCTCAAACTCACTAGCCACTCCTCAGAAACCCTATGTAAGGTTGCTATGAGTCAGAACAAACTCAAGCAGGACTAAAACCACAACAAATATCCAGCATTTAGCTCACAATGACTGGGTACTTTAATCTGTTAATCAGCTCTGTGTTCTGGTTTTGGTCCATTTCCTGAATAGTTAGCAGGCTGGTTTGCTTCCTTATTAACTAGGTGAACCACTCAGGTATGAGTTTAAATGGCTGTTTAATTTATCTGTTGCTTCTTAAATGTACATCTAAACATATTGCTACTTCGTGTCCTTGGAAGTCCTGGTGTGGCACTGTGATTTAATGCAGTGGCAAGGTCTGTTTGAACACAAAGTCAGTGGTTCAAGCTCATCAGCTGCTCCTCAGAAAAAACTATGCAGGGTGGCTGTGATTCAGAATCGACCCAACAACAGAGAAGAACAGTAAGCGTGTCCTTGAGTTTATTTTGACACAGAGACCCAGGGTAGACTGTTGTGGTTGTTGTGGTGGTGGTTAAGTTCTGTGGAGTCAGTTCAGACTCATAGCAATGCTGTATAAGGTTTCAGAGTTGCACTAGTTCTGAACTGTCATCCTTGCAGTTCAAACCAACCTTGTGGTCCAGTGCTTATTGTACAGCACCACACCAGGACACCAACAAAGTGGATTCAAACCATCACCTTTTGGTTAATAGTAGAATACTTAGCCATTGTGCTTTCAAGACATAGCCCCTTCACCACATATATAAATACATTATTACATACAGAGAGAGACAGACAGACAGACAGACAGACAGACAGAGAAAGAGCCCTGGTTGGCATCCATAGGACAAGCATTTAGCCTCAAAGTCTGAACTGCAAAGTTGGTGGTTCAAATTCAACTTGGAATCCCTATCCAAGGTCACTATGAGTCAGAACCCACTCAACGGCACTTAACAACAACAAGAACAACAACTGGGACTACTGGTATGGCACTGTGGATCAGCACCAAATGGTGAACCACAAGGTCGGAGGTTCAAACACATCACCTACTCCTCAAAAACCCTATATAGGGCCACCATGACAGGAACTTACTGAAAGGCACTAAAACAACAACATGTTGTTGTTGTTAAGTGCCATTGAGTCGGTTCTGACCCCATAGTGACCCTGAACAGGGTTTCCGAGGCTGTAAATCTTTACGGGAGCAGAACGCCTCATCTTTCTCCAGCGGAGCAGCTGGTAGTTTCGAACTGCTGACCTTGTGGTTTGCAGCCCGATTCATAACCACTACGCTACCAGAGCTCACAACAACATAGAAAACCAATAATTTTATGTGCAATGGGGTTCTGCTTCTTCTTCAAGTGAAATCATGTTTTATATCAATTAAAATTATAATCTCCTTTATATTATTGTATATATTGTTCTGCTATTTTCATACACAGAATCACAAAAAATGTACATGTTAATCTCTAGAGAGTTCCCATCTGTAAGCATGACTTCCCGGTAAACCCACATTCCTTAATTCATCTATCCTCATCTAAATTGCTTGGATGTTTTTCCTCTTCTTCTTTTAAGTAAGCAAAATACACTTTTAATTTTTCCCGTGGTGCTTACCTATTATTCCCTTGGCAAACTGCTAACTGACTTTGTTGTTGTTGTTATTAAGTGCTCTTGAGTGAATTCTGACTCATAGCGACCCTGGATAAGTTTCCAAGGAACAGGTGGTAAATACGAACTTCCAACTTTGTGGTTCAAACTGACTTTTGGGTACACAGTGATTTATCCCACAGCATCGAACCAGGACACCTAACTGACTTCAGCTGGTTACAATTTATGTTCCTGATTTTAAAAAGATCCTTGTTTTTGTTTTTAATGAAATGGAGTACGTTTGAAAAAGAATTTAATAAAGTTTAATTTCAGAATCCTTGTGCGGCACTGTGGGTTAATGCACAGGATTACAAAGTTGGTTTGAACCACAAGGCTGGTGGTTCAAGCTCACCAGCTGCTCCTTGGAAACCCTATACAGGGTTGCTATGAGTTGGAACCGCCTCGATAGCTCTTAACAACATTGGCTTCATTGGAGCTCTGGCAGCATAGTGATTACTAGTTGGGCTGCTAACCTCAAGGTGATTCAAACCCACCAACTGCTCCTAGGAAACCCTATTCAGGGCTGCTATGAGTCAGAACCAATTGATGTCACTTAACAACAATATGACTATTTTTAAAATGTATAAAAATTCATACCACAAACAGTTCTAAGTGAATTTAATAAACATCAGTTAAAACATGCATTTTATAATATTAAGCATGGCTTGAAAACTGAAGTGATATAGGTATCATCTGCTTTTGAGAAGACTGAAGTTGTATCAAACTTTCATTCACAGAAAAGACCAGGTTCTAGAAATGATCTATTGCAGTAGACCCTTGTAGCAATTTCATCAAGAATCCTACTAAGGAATTAAAATCAGTTAGTAAAGGAATTACTTGTAATGCAAACTATTTTGTGAAAATGAAAGTAAGTCAGTCAATTAAATTAAAACCACAACAGACAATGGTTTAAGTAGCACAAACATTCAGAAATGTATCAATTGAATGCAGAATATGAAGTGCAGCATATATTTGGGAAAGTGTGTGTGTGAGAGAGAGAGAGAGAGAGAAATTGAATGCAAACTGTTTACATTCTAATACTATGTTCTTTCCTGAAATTATTAGTGATATGTTTATTTTTTACATTTTCTTATTATCTCCGGCAAACAATAAATAAATCTGTCCTCTTTTGTTTTTTGCCCTCTATACTTAGATTTTCATTGGATCGCCATACTGACCTTGACAGGATCTTTAACATACATTCTGGAAATGGATCCCTTTATACATCAAAGCCACTGGATCGTGAACTCTCTCAATGGCACAATCTCACAGTTATTGCAGCTGAAATTAGTAAGAACATTTTTATGTGTGTAACATGTTAATATATATGTTATTAAGTTCCACCCAGTGGTTCTGACCCATAGAAACCCTGTATAGGGGTTCTGAGGAGCAGCTGGTGAGTTTGAACCACTGACCTTTCAATTCAAATGGACTTTTCAGTCCAGTGCATTAACCCACATCTCCACATCAGGACTCCATTAATCCCAGGGGTGTATGTTGGCTCTATCATTCTTAGGCTTTGAAATGAGTGTCTCTAAGAAATTTTTCTTTTTGTATTTCCCCCTTTTGATCATGCTCCACTAGGTGATGCTATCACTCATGATGCGGTAGCTTTTCTTCTATAAGGATTTTGTCCATTTTCTTGAAAAAAATGGTGGTGGTGGTGGTGTGCTGTGAAGTCAATTCCAACTCATTGCCACCCTGTACAGAGTTTCTGCGGTTGAAATCTTTACTGGAGCACAAACCCTCATCTTTCTTTCAAGAAAAGCTATTAGATTCAAACTTGGAACTGTAAGACCAGCTCTTAACCCCCAATGCTACTTGAGCTCCTTGTTGATAGTGCTGTTAAGTCAGTTTGGAATCATATCAACACTATGTAGGGTTTCCAAGGAGCACCTGGTGGGTTTGAACTGCTGATCTTGTGGTTCACAGCCCAGTGCTTATTCGTGAAGTGCCACATCAGGAGTCCTGAGGAGAATTAGTTAATATAAATTAATTTCTTCACCTTGCTGTGCTAATAACTATCATTTCAGGGTGAGTAGATTTAATGGTGGGAAATCTTAATGTGTAAGGCTACATTAGAGAAGCATTTCTCAATCTGGACAGAATAACATGAAATGTCAAGTGGTTTTGGAATACAGAATTTTATGGGTGAAATGCATTTAAATAATGTAAAACAGCATTGCATAATTACAATAATAGAACCAATGAGAAATATAAAGATTAATTAATAAAATAGCATTTTCCACTATCTATCCCCAGATGAAAACCAGTTACAGGTTTCCCCCACTATCCAAAGTACAGCATTTTCATGAAATCTTTCAAGAGCCAAAATAATGTAAAAAGAAAAAAATAATTACCATTAATTTATTTGAGAAGGATTATTAGCATTCTCAAACCCAAAATATAATCTACTTAAAGGTAAATCATATCAAAATTTATATCAAAACTAAAATGATATTTTTTTATATATCCAGTTCCAAGCTGTGGTGGCTTGGTGCTGAGATACTAAATATAGTTACCTGAGAAAGAGCTTGGCAGCAGCACTCATGCTAACTCAGGGGCCTGCTGCCTCTTTAATGGCTCCCAACGAAATAAGCTCTGGTAGCGTGAGTCAGGCTGCCAACCTCAAGGTCAGCAGTTCGAAACTACCCGCGGTTCCGAGGGAGAAAGATGAGGCGTTCTACTCCCATAAAGATTTACAGCCTCGGAAATCCTGTGCAGGATTCGGAATCGACTCCACGGTACTTAACAACAACAATGAAATAAGCTCTGGTAGCGTATGGTTACGAATTGGGCTGATAATCTCAGGGCCAGCAGTTCGATCCTACCATCTGTTCCGCAGGAGAAAGATGAGGCTTTCTGCTCCTGTAAAGATTCACAGTCTCAGAAACCCTGTACAGGGTCATTATGTGTCGGAACCGACTCCATGGCACATAATCACCACCGCAAAATAAATGTGTAATGTTACTTTTGCTTTTCAACGTTTTTCATAAATGCAAAAATCATGTTTGGATTGCTTTCACTTAGCAAAAATAGGTGCTAATGCAGGTCTTTTGTAAAAGCAAAGTGGTATAAAGCAAACTTTAGAATACAGTGGGGGTGTATCTATTCATAATATAAATTAAAGAAGGGATAAGATCTGTACTGCAAGATACTACTCATTGCATTTAATTAACATAGAATGTCATACTAGCACTATTTTCAGAAATATATATTGATGTATTAGAGTTATGGTGTCAGAGGAGAATATTAAAAGTACCATGGACTACTAAAAGAACAAACAAATCTGTGTTGGAAGAAATACAGCCCAAGTGCTCCTTGGAAGCTGGACATCGTCTCTCATACTTTGGACATATTATCAGGAGGGACCAGTCAATGGAGAAAGATATCGTGTTTGGTAAAGTGAAGAAGAGGAAGACCCCAAATGAGATGGATTGGCACCGTGATAACAGCAATGGATTCAGGAGTAGCAACAATTGCGAGGTTGGCCTAGGACTGGACAATGTTTTGTTCTGTTGTGTATAGGGTCACTATGAGTTGGTGCTGATTTGATGGTGCTTCTTTGGGCTGCACTGGGATGTGAAAGACCTTTCATTCTGTTTTTACTGTCCACATCTCTACCATATCAGCAGTGACCTTATGAAGCCCAATGGCACTGTCATTTATGTAAGACCGTAAGTACTTAGTTAATATTTCTATATATGCCATGTGTTTTCAAGTCCTATATGAGGTCTGAATTATACCACTGAACAGTCAAATCAATAAAACGCCAATTGTGACCATGAAACTCTTAATCTGAATGCTTTGGCTAGTGAGGATGTTCCTTTGAAATATGTCCTAGCATTTAGCTAAGGTCCATTGTGTATCCTTCAGCACATCCTGGTGGAAACCAAAACAAAGGTTGGATACACTAACTAAAAGATATGCTTATAAGCTGCTTCATGGGTACCTGAGCATATTAGTTCGTCAGTAATGAACCAATAGGAAGTTTGTACAGTTATATCAGCTTGAGGACTAAAGTGCGCCTGACCCAAGTCATGGTATTTTCAATAACCTCATATGCATGAGAAAACTGGACAGTGAATAAGGAAGACCATAGAATAATTGATGCTTTTGAGTTATGGTGTTGGTTATGGTGTTGGAGGAGAATATTGAAAGTGCCATGGGCTGCCAAAAGAACCAATAGATCCATTTTGGAAGAAGTGCAGCCAGAGTGCTCCTTGGAGGCCAAGATGGCCAAACTTCTTCTCTAATACCTTGGACATATTGTCAGGAGGGACCAGTTGTTGGAGAAAGATACCATGTTTGGTAAAGTGGAGGGTCAGAGAAAAAGAGGAAGACCCCCAACGAGATGGATTAGTCAAGTGGCCGCATTGATGGACTAAAGTATGGCAACAGTAGTGAGGTTGGCCCAGGATCAGGTAGTGCATAAAGTCACTTTCATTCTGCTGTGCACAAAGTCGCTATGAGTCAGTACTCACTCAATGGCACCTAACAACAACAACAACAAAGTTTTAAGTGGGGAACATTCAGATGTAAGAAACCATTCTGAGGGTTTGGTGAGGGTGGTTGTTTGTGATTATGTGCCATAGAGTCGGTTCCAACTCATAGCAACTGGTTGTAAATCTTTACGGGAGCAGAAAGCCTCATCTTTCTCCAGTGGAACAGCTGGTAGTTTCGAACTGCTGACCTTGAGGTTTACAGCTATGCATAGATTGTTTCAAGCAAAAGAAAACAACCTGACTTAGCTCTCCACCATATGAATTTGCCCCATAGTTGTTGACATCAGCTTGCTGTACAAAGAATACTATTTGTGGGCTTACAATCTCCTTTAGTGATCTCTTTCTGGACAATTTTATTACTAAAATGCAGGTTGTGCTAAGACTAAAGGTAAAGTTATGGCTTCAGTGTTTTTAGGTCTGAAAAGAAGTCATTTATCAATGGAAAAATCTAGTAATCATGATTTCCTGTAGTAATGAAATTTTAGCCATTATTCTTGTATCTGTAGATCAAGAATAAACTAATCAGATTCTTGTAGTGGAGATATCTACCAGGAAAGACCTGTATATGGTTTCCGAGGAGCAGCTAGTGAGCTTGAAGTGGGATGGACATTGCAAATCCAACAATCAAACCTATTAAAATGTTGAGCATAAATATCTTGAAAATGTAGAATTGAATTAGTAAAGACATGATAGTAACAAAGGCAAAAAGGACAGAAAAATTTTAAAAGTGCATTTTCAGGCCTATTCCACCATCTTAAGTCAGATATTTGCTTTAGGTGTTGTCTGCTTTTGGCCACATTTAAATGTCACTTTCAATTCTATTGTAGGCTGCTAATCAAAAGTGGAGTCTTAGCTTATTTTGACTGTGACAAACGAATCCAGTGGTTTATATCTTCTAATTGGACTGCATGTAGATTAATGAGGAGGACTGCATATAGTTCTTTCCAATGAGATGTAATTAAGTCTCTTATCTCATATTTTTTTCCAGTATATACATTCTCCTGGGGAAATGTTAGGCAGACTTCAAGAGTCTAGTTTCTGTTTACCCAAACTTTCTCTAAACTGTGGAAGATATCCTATAGAATATTTTATTAAAAACATTTCAGTAATTTGGGTACTAAACTCATTGTCATCAAGTTGTTTCCTACTCATTGTTGTTGTTTTTAAGTGCTGTTGAGTCGGTTCCGACCCATAGTGATCCTGTAGATGGTTTCCGAGGAGCAGCTAGTGAGCTTGAACCACCAAACTTACATTTCAAATGGCTTTGCAGTCTGGCTCATTAACGCACAGTGCTACACCAGGATTCCTACTCACACTAGTCCCTATATAAGGTTTCTGAGACAGTAAATCAATATGAGAGAAGAAAATCTCATATTTCTCCTGTGAAGTGGCTAGTGGGTTTAAACTACCAACCTTGTGGCTAGCAATTCATCACCTAACCCACAGTGCCACCATAGCACCTAAATTTAGGTAATGTTGCTGCTAAGTGTCATTGAGTCTATTCTAATTCATAGTGATCCTTATAGGGTTACCAAGGAGTGACTGGTGGGTTTGAACTAATGAACTTGTGGGTTAGCAGTCCTGTACTTATCCTTCAGCTAATAGCAAATAAGGAAGGATCATGAGTCTCCCATTAATTATTTCATAGGGTATATAGTTTTGAGATCCAAATTCATATGTTACACTGTGGATTAATGTGCCAGACTGCAAAACCATTTGAACTGCAGGGTCGGTGGTTCAAGCTTATCCGCAGCTCCTCAGAAACCCTATGCAGGGTCGCTTTGG